TACACACGTGCACGCTGGTGTGTACGTTTGGTTGCCTACCAGTAGTATGGCAGGCGCTTGGCATCGGGTCTGACCACAAGCTTACAAGTCGATGTTTTCGATTTGCTTCAGCACGCTGTTATCTGTATTTTTAGAAACGAAGCATCTTCCCGTCTTGCATTGCATTGAAAGCCCGTTGCTTCTTTGATACACATTCCGCACAATGCTGTGCTCAAGAGAACCACACGCCCTACAGAAGTTTTGTGCAAGAAGTGAAATCGGAAGTAAAATGTCCAGCGAATAATCAACTCAGTCCGTGTTTCACTTTATGACCTCCAAAGAATTAAATTTAAAAGAACTGGAGAGCTAGTGGCAAAAGGTTGTCTTCCCAAAATTCGCCGTTTCTATAAGCGCGCTTATAAAACGAAATCATTCCGAAACTCGTCCGGGACTGTTCCAAAAGCAGTCCGATCGTCTCGGACACTTCCAAATATGTTCCAGGACAGTCCGTCAGCAATCCGAGTCCGATCCCGGACTGTCCGAAAGTAGCCCTCGGCACCCAGGACTGTCCGTAAAAAGTCCGATGCTACCGGACAGTCCCTAATAAGTCCGGTAGTTTATTTTGTGCTGGCAATTTGCCTCTTTAAATTTGAGTAAACTAAACAGGCATATTTTATTTTTCAAAAAGGTCGTTCATCATGACCTGAACAGAACATTTCGTACAATGAAAAAGCATTTGCCGAAAACCGCATGACGATGCGCTGATTCGTTCGTTGTGTACAGCGCTCGTCTCGGAAGAGATTCTGAGCCCAGCTAAAGAGGCTCTCCTGTGTGGTCTCTTCTCAGCCGTCAGCGTAGCTCAGTTGGTAAGAGCGTCGGTCAAGGGACCCGGTGACCGACAGGTGAGGGAACGAATCCCGCTCGTCCAGCTTTTTTTTAAGCCGGTTGGACCATTCGGACTAGTCCGAAATACGTCCGGGCACGGGCATCGGACAGTCCGATAGACGTCCGGTCGCGGCCTTCGGACAGTCCGAAAACTTGCTGATTTGACACATTTTCGGTAGTATTCTCGGCAAGGTCCAGGATGTCGTCTCGGACTGTCCGAAAATCGGACTGATTTCGGTACAGAATATTTTTATAAGGGCGGCCATACAAAACCGACATATTTTGAAATAACAACAATCCTTGAACCTTCCTCTTTCCGAAAATATACGGCATGACACATGTGTCCGGTCTCGAAAAGGTTCCTTTCAGGCATTTGAAAATCACAACAGCTGCGCGCCAGCCGCGCAGTGAGCCTGGAGGGTGGACGGGCCCAGAGCCGAAGCCACCCGAGCGGCGCGGCCGAGCGCCGTGAACTACGTGTCTTCCGAAAGTGAGTGGGAACTTGCGTGGGTCTTGGAGCGAGCGACTCAGCTGCGTGAGTTTTGGAGCCAGCGGCTGAGCTGCGTGTGTCTTGGAGCGGGCGGCTCAGCTACGTGAGTTTTGGAGCCAGCGGCTGAGCTGCGTGCGTGTTAGTCTAAGGTGTCGAAATGTCTGTTGTAAACATCTCTCCAACTTTCATTGTCAGTTTTCATGGTTAATTCAGTTTCTTCAGACCAAAGAACATGGAGGAAGACCTTCTTCCTGTAAAATTCTTCATTTTTATCTTCATCAGCACTAAGTTTCAATCGAGGAAAAACACGAACAATATTCAGTTTCTCCAATTTAGACCACTTTATGTTGTAGAACTTGGCGACTTCCCACATAGACAATCTATGCAAATGTACAGGCCTATCAGCATACTTCTCCAAAAACGTCTTTCCCCTTGAACCACATTGATTGCCATGTAATTCAACATTATTTTCGTCTGCACAACCAACAGGTACCCACTTCTTTGCATTGGTGTAATTTTCAGGAATTACGAGATATCTTCAGAATAATATATAAATTTGAAAACATTATTTTCTCCAGATCCTTACCCGTTTTCTTTGCTTTTCTTTGGTATACTAGACGCAAGTTTACGATATCATGTTGTTTATTTTCAATCTAAAACAAGTTAAATGGGTAGAAGTTGGTTGACGTATTTCCACTTCGTCCTTATCAAAAATTCATTTTTTACTGTTTTTTTAAGTTAGGCCTTACAGAGAGTCTTACTCGTTAACTTTGTATCTTTCTGGTCTTGGCGACTTTATTTACCGCTTTTGGAGTGCAATTGTCGTTTTAGAGTCAAAGTAAATCACTGGTGACAAGTGAAAGTGGGGTAAGTCCACTCTTTTCAAAAATCACTTTTTTCCATTTTTGGATACTTCTAGGTAATAGAAACCATATGGTATAGTCAAAACTCGACACTTGAAACCTACAAGCACGGAGTTCGTGGAGTCTCCCTATAAACCCGCAGTTCCAGGCAGCTCCGTACAGACACGCAGTTCAGCGGGTCCCCGTACACAGTGGGCTAGAATCCAAAAAAAAAGCGGACATAAATCATATCAGTTATTGGGTGCATCGCACATACAATATCGGTATGTTCAGGGGGGTTTTCGGGTGCGCTGATTCCATATTTTTAATAATTTTGAACTTTTAGGAGGCGGATCCAGGTCAAAAAGGGGGGGAGTTTTCAAAATCTTACTCAAATCACGTGAAAGTTCGGTTACGGAGGTCTACGGTTGCGCTGATTGTTGCTGATTTTTTGCTGATTTTTACAAGTTTTTTTCGAATTTTTACGATTTTTTCTCCATTTTTACAATATTTTACGATTTTTTAAATAGGTTGTTGTTTTGATTGTTTTCTGATTTTTAAGGACTCTGCATGATTTTTTAAAGGATTTGTTACACTTTCTCAATGATTTCATACGAGGTGCAGTCGGTTAGGCGAACCTATTAGGCCGCGCCACCGCAAAGTCCACTAAAATTCGTCCAAAAACAAGTATTTTTCTCGCAAGACCGCAAAATACCGCAAAAACCGACTACGGGATCTTGTAAACAAGGTTTCGAACTTCAAGAATCAATTGTCGGTTTCTTTGATTTTTCATGATTTCGTTACTTACGGCCTTTTAAAGTTGGCCCAAATCGCAATCGGGGGAGGGTTTTACTTTTCACTTTTTGGGGAGGTTGGAGGGTAAATAATTGATGGCCTGCACCTGGATATGTTTCGTTGTGTTTAGAACAACACGTCAGCAAACGTGTGGGCGGCTGAAGCTATGAACAACGATAAAAATAACAACATAAGATAGTGAGGTTAGGGCCGTCCATGCGGGCACCGCAAAATAGCTGATTTCAAAATGATATTTCAAGGTGAAGATTTGCAGCTAAAAATACAAACTAATGCGTTTTGAAAATCTTGAACATTGCGCTACAAGGTCCACTAGTCGTTTTAGCCCAAATCGTTAAAAAATTATCGTACTTTTGTCCGCTTTTTTTTGATTCTAGCCCACTGTGCCGTATAACGTCGTAAGTGCTTGGAAGTCACTTTTGAGATATAGCGCTTCAAAGTTTTGGATTTACATTGCGCCTTACGGGCGGATGGATTTTCAGCCCAGAGTAACTTTTGAACTAATTAACATATCGAAATGCGATTTTCGCTGATCGATAGCCCTTGGTTTCCTCTATCCGACGCACTTCATAACTCGAAATTTTCAAAAAACATAGTTACGACGCTATACGGCGGCCTGCTGAACTCCGTGTTTGTACCGAGCCCCCGGGAACTGCGTGTTTATACGGAGCCTCCACGAACTCCGTGTGTATAGGTTTCAAGTGTCGAACTTTCCTAAGTGCAATAAGCCCAGTGTTATGGGGACGAATCCCACGTCAATGTGGGATAAGTCCATTTGTAATATTTCAAACAGGCATAAGTTCAAAACGAGGATTTTCCAAAGAGGCATTTGTCCGGATATGATTTGTCAGAATGGCATATGTCTATTGATCCTAGAGGACTAATGCCATTCTGACAAATCACAACCGGAACATATGCCCTTTTTGAAAGTCATGCTTGTGGACATATGAGTCTGTGAAGGGGCATATGTCCGGGTGTGATTTGTTAAAATGGCGTATGTCCACAAACATGATTTTGGAAACGGGCAAATGTCGCGGTTGTGATTTGTCAGAATGGCGTAAGTCCTCTGGATCTATGGACATATGCCATTCTGACAAATCACATCCGGACATATGCCTCTTTGGAAAACCCCTTTTTGGACTTATGCCTGTCTGAAAAAATTACACCCGGACTTAACCCATATTGACATGGGATATGTCAAATAACTCAGGTCGTATACAAATTTCATTTAAAAAAATTAAATCTAGTGTTTCCTATTGCCAAACTGAGCTTGTCCAGGGTATTTGCTTTGACATATTGTCTAAATTACATCTGAATTATTTTGGGAATATTCGGGGCGGCTGGGGTCGCCATCTTGGCCCTCCGCTACGGACAGGGTCCGCAAGGCAGGGCCCCGTGCGAGGCTAGTCGGCCCCATCGTTATTCGCAGTCGACCCTCGAAACTTTTGAAACTGATAGTACAAGCATGTCTTGTTTTCTGGGAAACTGCAACTGCCCTTCTTCGAACCATCAAGTAGAAACTTTTGTAATTAAAACACAAATATTTGTAATGCGTGGATAATAACATCTGTAACATTCTCATGTTACAAATTGTTAAATTTAAATCCTAAACTCGTTACGTTATTTCAAACATCTCATGTATCAATATACAAAACTAAACTCGTTACGTCCCAACTTATACTGATGCTTCGTGAGCAGTTTTAGGTCAATTGAAGTTGCTGTCTGAGAGATAAGTGGGCCAGTACAGACAGACAGACGGACACACGACCAAAGAGTTCTCTGCACCCCACATCACAGCAAAGGCTTCGCAAGATCAGCCAACAAGAGACATGGTCGGAAATCGTTTGGTTATGCTAAAAATCTCCATAGAACATTTGTTCAAATGAAATGGGGTATAAGGTGCGGTTGTCAACTCACATGTTTTTTAACAGTTAGCTCTGTGATTAAGAGATACGTAGTATTTGGACGCTTGCTGAGAGATAAAAATGCAGCTTGAAAACAGTACACAGCCGCAGCTAGCTGCTATCTGTCAGATTATGCATGGGTCGTGGTCTCCTATGCTTGGAACTTCAGTGTGACATTTTTACCACTGTCGACGGTACGATATTTTTACCACTCCTACTCGCAATGCTGGTCCCTTGTGACGTTTGCAGGCGATGTAAGTTTTCCAGCAGCCCAAGGCCAGGATAGGTACAAAACCGAAATCGTGGATTTCTAGGTTCTTCAGTGAGTTTTTTATTTAGCAATTGTTACCTTAAAAAGCAGATGTAAGCATCACGACGCGTCCTTCGAACAAAGTTCGATCTCCCGGTGCGCCGTTCAACACTGTCCGATCTCCGGGCGCGCTGTTCAACGCTGTCCGATCTCTTTTTCAGCTTTTATCTGCACCGTAGGCTTCAAGCCGCGATATATTTGTTGATAGTTCACTTATAAGGAAACTAATGAATTTTATGTGATCCTCAAAGATTACGCAACACATTGGGACAATAATAAAATGCAATAATCTTGAAGAACAGACATACGAGGCGTTTAAATTTCCACCTCGCTGCAAACCCCGAAAAGGAGATCGGAAAGTGTTGAACGGTGCGCCCGGAGATCGGACAGCGTTGAACGGCGCGCCGGGAGATCGAACTTTGTTCGTAGGACGCGTCGATCAGTAATGTGAAAGCTTCAGCAGCTCTTAATTTTTTGGTAGAAAACTATAATAGTTCTAACTGGAGTGTCCGTTTTTGAAGTTAAAGTAAAGTTCAATACAGTTTAATAGAATTTTTCCTTGAGTTGCTTGGTTTTAGTTTAACTGAAGATCCTTCCACCAAGAGGCGCTAGGCCAGACCAAAAAAGAACACCATTGGGCGCTAGGGGGATCGTGGCTGAGGCCTGGGTGAGTGTTGCGCCGACACTGCTACTCCCTACAAAATTAATACGAAAATGCCATGTTAAAATAAATGTTAACTAATGGCCCTGGGTACACTGCTCAGGCGAGTCGGCCACCACTTCTGCCCGTAACGATATCTCCGCATCCTCAAGGATGTACACTGTATGCGTTTCCAAACCGTAAATTATGGTCTAAAATAAGCCCCTCTGGCTGAATATGCTTTAAAATTCTGTATGTATGCAGTCTTTCAGTCACGTTTTTTTTATCAATTTAACCGTTTTTATGGTTTTTCGACTAATAATTCTTTTTTATGACTTCTAGCGTTTCCGTCCGAATAATGCTTTTTTATGCTTTTTATTTACGTTTAATTAGTGTAAAACATTAGAAGTGATGTCGGTTTAGGGTATGGAAAGGAAAATCCATAGACTATTTCAAACGTCAGATCTAAATTTGCGGTAGCATCCGTAAAACACCAAAAACATCGCTAAATACGCCGTTTTCATGCCTTCAGCCTGCAATTAAACTCAAATTATGTGAAAGGCCTAAGTGCCGCGATCTTTTGGCTAAGCGAATCCCATGTTAGAGACTTCAAATTTTCAGGGTATCTTAAGGTTCACTCCTTGAAAACGAAACGCCTACGGCAAATCCTGGCAACCACCTCTAAGGGGCTGAAAGGGGGAAACAAAGGAAATAAGGCAGGTCAAAAAAGTTGGATAAAAATATTTTGTGATGATTTCCTTAAGGGTATCTCAGCAAAGTAGAGTGCTGTGGGTGAAAATTTCGTCCGTTTGGCTCTATCTCTAACCGTTTGGGCGCTGGAGGGTCTTTTTTGACGAAAAAAAGCAGCTGAAAATTGCTGTAGTGAACAATTTAATGAAGAAGAAGGCCAAATAACCGCAAAAGAGGAAAGAAACTCCCCCACCTCCAAAAAACGTTTTCTAAGCAGATGGGTTGTAGTCGCGTTGCTTCACCGTTACATCGTGTCTACGGGGCAAATTTTAAGGACGAAGGGCTTTTGCAGGCCGAAGGCCCGTTACATCAATTGATTTTGTTCTTCAGCAAAGTGCGTGACTGAAATGGTCGGGCCGCAGGCCCGACCATTGCCGCCGGCAAGCCAAGCAGGCCCGGCGCCTGCTGAACGGAGTTGCCAGCGGAGCGAAGCGGAGCTGGCAATTCCGTTTGGCGGAAGGGCGGGACTGCTTGTTGTTTGATAACCTCTGTAAGCACCTCAAGAGTGGTTGCCAGAACTTGCCGTAGACCTTTCGTTTTCTAGGAGTGAACCCTTAAGATACACTGAAAATTAGAAGTCTCTAGCACATCCCCTTAAAGTGGAACAGTCAGACATACAGACAGACACGAGGTCGTTTGCATGAGCCGGCTGGATAGCTTTTTCAAAGCCGAAGGGGGGCTTAAAAGACAAATCGAGTTCTAAGATGAGCATTAGCCCTTGTAGCACCAATTAAACTGTCGCGCAAAGTGTATTTTTTTTCAATCGGCCAATTCTTGTGATGATAACGAAAATCCAAAATTGATGTATTTTCCAGAGTCTTACGATTGTCGCCGATTTATCAAATTCAAACCATCTGACATTCGCTTCCATTATGATAGCTAGCCGATAAAGATTTTCGTTCCGAGGAAAAAAGATAGTATAGCAATACAATCATTTTTCGCGCCGATAGTTCGTATCTTTTTGCTACTGTTGTCCGACAATCGTGCGACAGTTCTGTACTACTAGGGAGCACGAAAGTTGACTTTTAAATGAATCAAAAACCACACTCGCTTTTTTTTTTTCCAAATATTTCTTTATGGGTTCTTAAGGGGTAACTCGTTAATGTGAAATTCATTTAACGGATAAAATTTCGTCTGTTTTGCCCAATATTAAACCGTTTGGCGTCGAACCACACCCTTCTTTGAATTCGAGGGGCCTTAGATTTTCTACTTCCACTAAAATGTTGATTCTTACATAACAATCTGTCAAAATTAGAACTTTTAATGGATACCTATATGGGAAGGGACTTTTTCCGTATACACTCCTATTAATTCGTGTCAGGAGTCAGCGCCCCAGGCCTAGCTATATGTGCGGCAGGCGCGTCTCAGCGGAACAGTGTTTCGTGAGATATCGCGAAGCTGTTACGCGAGACGTGGTCTGTCGTACGTATAACTAGTAGAAATTATTATTTTTCAATGTTCTTCTCGGGCCCTGGGTCAGAGCCGTGCTAACGAGTTGATTCCCAATTTAAATATAGTTAAAATAGTTATGCGACATGCGAAAGCATAAAGTGGACATCATCACACGCATCCTTACTCTCATCTTGTACAAAAACAAAAACAAAACAGGCAGGCCCGCCCTTCCGCCAAACGGAGCTGCCAGCTCCACTTCGCTGCGCCAGCAACTCCGTTCGGCAGGGGCCGGGCCTGCTTGGCCTGTCGTCGGCGATGGTCGGGCCGAAGGCTCGGGCTCGCGATTTACTGAAGTGCATCATCAAATAAATAATATGACCGGTAAATCACTTTGCATATTTGAGTAAAAGTAAAGCGTTCGACGGGGGGCCTGCGGCCCTAGAAATTTGATCCTTCGACATGTCAAAAGACTGTAACGGGGCAACACCGTGACTACACCCCACCCTTCTGCTTTGCTTACAAAAAATAACCGACGGAGTTTCTAGATTGTATATTGTTTGTTCAACAGTCATCAAACTTGACTTTTTGCCATTGTTTTCAATATATCCACCTCTAGGGACGAAACAGTGAAAGATACGGCAAATCCGAGGGTAGTTCCTGATTTAGAATGTACTGTTTGGGGGGGAGGGGGGGGGGTACTTTCTCTGACATTTTACGATTGGACGACTCCTTGTACGTCTTTATGTGCAACGTGGTCATTTTCGCCGTATTTCGTCGAAAAAAGCACTCTGGCGCCCAAACGGTGCAAGATAGAGGCAAACGGACGAAATTTTAGTCCAACGGGTTCTACTTTCACGAGTTACCCCTTAGGGAACCAAAAAAATAATTTGATTTTCTACTTTTTGGACCAACCCCTATTACTTTGTTACCCCCTTTCACCCCCTTAGGGGTGGTTGACAGGATTTGCACCAGGCGTTTCGTTGCCCAGGAGTGACCCGTTAGATACCCTGAAATTTGTAGACCTCTAGCTCATCTCCTTCCTCTTACATGGACAACGGGCGGACGGACGGACGGACACGAGAGCGGTTGGATAAGCCCGCTTTACTGCTTTTTTAAAAGCAGGAGGGGGGGCTAAAAACATCTTGATTTTTGCAGTTTTTTTGTTGTTTTGCTTTCAGAAAGCTCCTTGACTTCATCTCGGACACGTGCCCTTTCAGAGGGCCAACGATGCACACGGGTCCAAAAATGGACCAATCTGTTGGCCACTCACTGAATAATAAAAGTAACCACAGTCAGCAAGCTGAAAAGGAAACATCGCCTATCAATTCCTTAGTAGACAATAAGAAAGGCGAAGAAAATGAAATAGATTGTTTAATAGAAGCAAAAACCAAGAAAGTAGAAGAGGAAAATGATGCACATTACACACCTAAAAATCATGAAAACAAGACCCTCCTTTTCAGAGAAGATCAGGTAAGCATTTTTTGGAAACCGCTAAACTACAGTAATAAGAAAACTACCCAGTGAGCAATGCAATATCAGACCGATATAGAAACGACGTAAGACATCAAAAATTTGTCGGTTTTCGCATCCGATTGATAAAAATGTGGTCCTAAAAATGACACGTTTCTGATCACTGATAACGTACTGACAACAGTCTGACATTCCATTGCTCACTGGGTAGGAGGAACGTAGGCTAGCAGTGTCAACTCTAAATGTGAACGATCAAGTTTGTACTCAACGACATAGTAAATCTAGACCTTTTTCGTCCATAGAATGTCACATTTTTGAGCTCATCTTTACCAAATGTAATTCTGAATATTGCATCTTTGCAGCAGACAAATTTTCGTTTAGGCCGTGATAGAGATGCAAATTTGTCATTCGTAGCATACAATTTTCCAACTGGCAATGATCTGCCCATAAACGAGACTTTCCGGGGACAAAAAAAAAGTCCTTCTTGATTGAGTGTGGAGGGAACGGATTTGAACGCACCCAACGATGCACAAAATTGTTAGAGATGACAAGTGCTAATATTGTTTTCTCCTTATGGACAAATTTGTTTCTTGTTTCTTGGACAATACAAAATTTATCACAGCGATTGGACCTTCAAATCCGTTCTTGTTTCGCAACAAATATAGAGTTAAGAGTAATTATTGAGGATTTAGGTAACTTGCTGGGCAAAAGCGAAGCCTGTTAATCAAATGAAAACATTTTGTTACCAATGCACCGCAAAATGGGTTAATTTGGACTACAGGGGTGTAATGTGGTGTGGACCACCCTCCGACCGCCGCTGTTTAAGGCGCACTGTGACCAGTCGACAAGCCTTATTCCCAAACACATCCAAGGTACTACTCAGTTGGGACGTGGGATGTCTGAGCTGGGAGGTCCCCCAGTACAACCGAATGCGACTCTAGTCTGGCCCTGAGCAAGACATCCCACCAGGAGGTCCCATCGAGACACTCGTGTAACAAGCTTTCAAGAACGTTTCCCAGCTACTCCTTCAGGTAGAGAGTATTGTAACGTACATTTAGCCCGTCCCAGTAGTAGTAGTATGTGTGAGTTATTCGCCTAGGATCATCCCAAATGCCTCCCGAAAGTAAATCGATACCTAAGACCTAAGACTAAAAGGCAGAGTGACAAGGTGCATGGTAAATAGAAATAATAAAATGTCAAACTGGGAACGTGGGCTGAGGCGTTGACCTGCCGGAAGTCGAGGCTTTAGTTCATGGGTTCGAATGCTCACAAGGTCAGACATTTTTTAGACAGTATTTCCATGCGCGCCCAGGAGGCATGCTGATACGCTCGTTAAAATTTTTGACGGAAAATGCTATCCCTCTATGAGAGGCCTATTTGAAACCGATATTTTACCATTGGACTCTTTAATGGACCCGTTGGACCCTTTATTGGACCCGTTGGACCCTTTATTGGACCCATTGGACCCTTTATCAGACCCATTGGACCCTTTATTGGACCACACCTTTCGAGCTCTTCTGCAGAAATACTGTACTTCGGCCAAATCGTTCAAAAGCACAGACGGAAATGGGTCTTCCACATGCTCTGACAAGAATTCTTTTTTCTCCCGCCATCCTATTTTTTCATGAGCAAGGTAGCGTATACCCTCTTTGTCATTTTCAAGGAGGCTTTTCTCGTATTTTGACATTGTGAAGTACCCACGAAGCAGATTGAAGCAAATTTCGTTTAGGAAGCAGATTAAGCCTTTATTCGCATTTTCAAGGACTTCTGCCCTAATGTTATGCTCGGGTTCTATGAGGAATCGTATTTGTTTCCTGTAAGCGTTTTCATGAGCTGTCTGCACCTCATAAGCGTGGGCGTATTGATCAGCCTCATCCAAATCCTCATCACCACTGTCCTGATCATCACTTTCCTCTCTGTCGCTTTTCCTCGTCGTCACTGCTCTCCTCTGCCCACTCCTTCCAAAGTTCCTCGTCCTCCTGCTCAACGACACTCATATCGTCATCACTATGATCCTCATTCTCTGTATCCTCCTCGCTGTTCTCGCCATCGGCGCTTACCTCGTGTTCATATTCATCATCGGAGTCCTCTGCGGACAATTGAAGAGTTTGTGAATGAAATGCATTTCACTACTTCAAATTGTCTTTGACCATTATTTGTCGTAATAGCTATAGCTGGGCATGTTTTTACTGCATATCTCCAGTATATCTCGACGCGTCCTAACAACAATGTTCTATCTGCAGCGTGCGGATTACACAATGTTCTATCTGCAAAACGCCGGTTTCGGGACACCTCCAAAGGATATGCTTGTTACCCCGTCACTACTCGCTCTACTTCACTTTTTGTAGTCAATAATTAAACATTGGACCTTTACGATTCTTTACGTGTGCTCAGATTGGCCTTAATGTCTTCCAGTTACTTGCAAACCACACAAATGTGAAGGGCTGCGCCTAACCCTGTTTTGCAGATAGAACATTGTGTAATCCGCACGCTGCAGATAGAACATTGTTGTTAGGACGCGTCGCGATTTGCCGAAGAACATGATCGACTGATGTAGCGGGCCTTCGGCCCGCTTAAACCCGTCGTCTTTGAGTTTGCCCCAAAGACTCGAGAAAGGGATGTAACGGTGAAGCACCGTGACTACAACCCACCCTTCTTCTTAGTAAACGTTTTTTGGGGGTGGGGGAAGAGTTTCCTTTTTTATTTTGCAGTTTTTAGGCCTTTTACTACAACTTATTATTCACTATGGCAATTTTTATCTTATTTTTGTCAAAAAAAGACCCTCTAGCGCCTAAACGGTTAGGGATAGAGCAAAACGGACGAAATTTTCGTTCTTAGGGCTCTACTTTGACGAGTTACCCCTAAGGGGAACATAAAAAAAAATACTTTTTGGAAAAAATTTTGAACCTTGGATACCCTCGTTCACACCCTTAGGGGTGGTTGCCAGGATTTGCTGTAGGCGTTTCGTTCTCTAGAAGTGGACCTTAAGATACCCTGAAAATTTCAAGTCCCTAGCACATCTCCTTTTAGTGGAACAGACAGACGCACAGACACACAGACAGACAGACAGACACGAGGTCGTTTGCATAAGCCCGCTGGATAGCTTTTTCAAAGCAGAAGGGCGGGCTAAAAAAACGATCTGTCGTAATTGGGTTACGAGGTTTGGGTTAGACTCCCAAAAGACACCACTTTTTCCCCTCAAGGGGTCCCCCTGGCCAAATTTCAGGGCCCGTCAGAATGGGCCATCAAGATGGCGGCCCGTCAGAATGGGCGATCTATACTACTAGCGAGGAAACATTGACCACCACGTGACGCATTATGACCAGTATTAGACCCCCCCCCCCCGTTCCTTACTGCTTTATGGTGTTTTCAGAGACCTCCCCGCCTCCCCCCTTTTCTTGTGGTTTCCCCATACTCTTTCCTCCCCATAAATGCTCCACGTGATTTGGGAACGGCCTCCGATTGGGCTGAAATTTCCATGCTTCACATGTTCCCACAAACATATCGTTCGGGACTTCCAAAAATAGAAACGGCAAACTACTTGTAGTGAAATAACGCGAACCTTGGAGTTTCCATTTTCTAGGCTGCCTCCCTTCCATTTGATAATAGTTCACATAAGACATGCATCCAGGAAAATGTATTGTATCCATCCCCTTTAATATACTGAACTGTTTTTAAAAACATAACTAGGGACGAGTTAGCCGGGACGGAAGTGGGCGGGACCTTGAAGGGCATTTAGGACGCCTTCTTAGACCGGGGACGAGATAGTCGAGGCGAATTGTCCAAAATCCTTACCGACAAAGTGATAAACAAAATAAAACTTTACCCTACCCTTGGTGGCTGCTGGCAGCAGCTGCTGCTACCGGTACCTGATCGCTTCGGCCTAATTTCAGAGGATTCTTTTACACAACTCAATTGTGGCATTAAGCTCTGATATTTACAGAACGAGTTCAGTAATGTTGACATCACAGCTCAAAAAAAATAAAAAATTGTTGCTTTATGTGGTGCTTTTTTTTAAAATCTCCCATTGTGACACAAAGGTTGACCTGCTTGTTATGTCTGTGACTGTAACGAAAATGTTGTTGATGACTCTTAATGTCAGCCTTGTTACCACAGCACACGCCAGAAGACTCCCAAAAGCAGTTCAACTTTTGGAAGCTTCCTGCAAGAGAGAAAATTGCATATGCAAGACGAAGTATTACTGTAGAACCAATGCTTGCCCTTTTTATTATACCAAGCATGTTGTCCAACCTCGCAACGCAAAATCTCAACTTAGAAAAAGCTTGCCGAGTTAATCTGCGTTTTAATGATGAGGTATGCGACGCTCTTTCCGTACGAGACACAGCAAACTATGCGTTTGAAGAATCGGAGGTGAGTACATAATCGATACGATCTTAGGGTGGTTCTATGCAATTTAAAACTGAGAAATATACTGAATAATTTACATGTGTTTCAATTTGTACTTTCAAAGTGTATTGTAAATTTCTCCATTCTTGCTAGTCGGTTACTTCCGAGGGGGGGGGGTCACTTCGAAAAATCATTGTACAACCCCAAAAAAATCATTTAAAAAATCAAAAAAATCAAAATAAAATCAAGTGGAAAGTTGCATAAAAATCCGAAAAATCGAGAACAAACGACCCCAAAACTGAGAAAAATGGGCACAAAACAAGAAAAAACACAAAGTTTTTGTAAATTTAACTGTTATTGTCTTTTTCATAGCTGAAAAATAAAAAAAATAAAAAATTAACAAAATCAAAAAATCATTGAACACATTTTGTTTGAGTGAGCCCCCCCTCGGTTACTTCCAAGTCGATACAAATTACTTGATAAGTTAAACTTTCAAATTATAATTTTACAACTCACTTCATTGGAAATTTAACCGTTATCGAACGACTATTTCCCACAGTGTAGACGAAAAACGTTTCGCACATGCTACATGCAATATTGCATTTGTTTAAGAAGGGGTTCTCGGAAAAGGGTGTCTCGATGAGGAGTGGGTGTTATATTTCGGCATGGATGCAGGACAAATAAATGTGCTCCTACATCTAAGCAAAATAACTTCAACATGTCTAAGAAATCTATTTAATGCTTCACTGCCTCTGCTTTTCAACTTCCTCTAGGTTCAGAAACTGACAGCAGGAATGGCAGGGTGGAAGATGCTAGTTCAGAGTTCTCTTCCAGCAGTCCTCATACTTTTTGTAGGAAACTGGTCTGATCGCCACGGTCGCCGAAAGCCATGCATGTTGCTGCCAATAGTCGGAGAGTTCTGCACAAGTATTGGCCTCCTTGTCTGTACATTTTTCTACTACGAATTGCCGATAGAGGCCGCAACGGTACGTGCGATGTGCTTTTCAGAACAGCGTCGGTCTGTCTCTCGCGTGGATTCCCGAGTCAAAGAAAAGGTCTGTGTAAAATTTGCAGGTCGTCGGCCATATGGTTTATTTATTAAATCAGGTGCAAATGTTTCGTAGACAACTCTCCGATAAGGTGCAAACACTTGGCAGACAATTCGCAGTTAGTTAACAAGGGGTGATGAGCAGACAGAGGGCAGTCGATTCGCTGCTCATTGGCAAAGCATCCATAGATCGCCCGCAGACAATCCGCAGACCATTTAGTCTGCGGATTGTCTGAAAACGAACCGCGTATGGTTTGAGTAGAGTCTACAGGGGTACGAGCGTGCCTACCTATCGGCAGACAATCTGCAATAGCGCAACGAAATCGGAAATAGTCGAGTCGGCTGCTGCCGCCGCCGCAGGCCAGTATCGAACCCCAGACCTCCGTTTAGAAATCTGAGTGCTTGCCCGCTTGGCCAGAGAGAGCTCACACCGGACGTTCTGTCATGTGGGAGTCTGCTGTAGGAACAGAACGGCGCCCACTCACTCGCCCGGAGACACAGACCGCCGGAGCTGACCCCTGGGTCTGGAGTTCAAAACTGGCCTGCGGCGGCGTCAGCAGCCGACTCGACTGTTTTCGATTTCGTTGCGCTATTGCAGATTGTCTGCCGATGGTTAGGCGCGTTCGTACCCCCGCAGACTCTACTCAAACCATACGCGGTTCGTTTTCAGAAAATCCGCAGACTTAATGGTCTGCGGATTGTCTGCGGGTGGTCAATGGGTGCTTTGCCAATGAGCAGCGAATCGACTGCCCTCTGTCTGCTCATCACCCCTTGTGAACTAACAGCGAATTGTCTGCCAAGTGTTTGCACCTTTTGGGGGAGTTGTGTACGAAACATTTGCACCTGATTTGGTAAATGAACCACATGGCCGACGACCTGCAAATTTTTCACAGACCTTTTCTTTGACTCGGGTTCAGCCAAACCAGCTACACACTCAAGGGCCCGCTCTGCGCATTCTAAATGTAAAGGAACTTTTTTTTTTCACCTTAAACCAGCAACAAAATGTTTGTCCATAGTCGTAGTCAAAAGATTAATGGACAAAAACGTGTCAATTTATGGACAGATTGTGTCATTTGAAGGAACAGAATGGTCCTCACAAATATTGTTTCTTCCTTTAAAACACATTTGTTGTTAACTAGCAACAAATCTAAACGTCCACTCGCTGGTACAAATGATTTGTCGACGAAACATTAAACAAATTTGTCTATGATGAGTGAACAAAATTGAAAATTCAGCTCCCTAACCAAACAACTTCGTCTGTCGTCGGATGCTTGTAAATCCGATCCCTCGTTATGGGCAAAATTGTTCTTTTACATTTAGAAATAGAAATTTCTTACCATGTAATTTTATGTCTCTTGCTTCGGGAGTTATTCAATATAAACGTGGACAACCCTTACCTCAAAGAAAAGCAGATAGCCGTTTGTCTGCCAAGCTCAAAAAGATAGCCGTGTGTCTGCCACAACTAGCTATTAGGGCTGTTAGGGCGTATTGTTTGTCACACGGTCTTCAAACTAGACTTTTGGTCATTTTGTCATCTACCTCCAATGGATATGGATTCAATTAATCAGAGGGCACCCGCATGAAAACGTAATATGGGATCAGTTTGTCAACAGTTTGTCATCTCGCCGATGACAAACGGGTGTCAAACAGTTGACAGACTGATGACGATCCGATGATGAAATTTGCGGACATACTGATAACAAACTGATGTCAAACGCAAATCGGCGTTCTATCAAACAATATGTCATCAGTATGGCATCTGTTTATCAACCGTTTGTCGTCAACGGATTACAAACGGAGGACAAATCGCTGACATCCTGGCTCCGGCCTAACCATACGAAACACCGCAATTCCCTTTCAAGCCTAGCCCAAGCGCCACACTCACAAAAATGTTTTCTTGCCCCAATCCCAAAAATATTCTTGACTCAATTTTGCTCGGGATGAGTATAATTTTCTCGAGTGAAGACGACTTTTCTCGTTCGAAGAAACATGTTTTTCTTCCTACAAGAAGAAAATATTCTTGATACATTCTGCTTAGCCCAAGAAAATAATATGCTTGTGCGATGAAACATGTAGCTAGGCCGGGCGGGCGTTGCGTAGAGGGGAGACGGACGGATTAGGGTGGAGCGCGCGAGAGGACCGGGCTACCTGAGGCACAAAGGCAGCGCTGGGGACACGGTCACACATGTGGCTTCATAGCTCAAACGGTTACTGCTTACGCTTTAACGCTGAGTTGACACGAGCCGGGTTCGAACCCCGGCAGTGCCAATTGAAGGCGTAAGTTGCATTAAGGAGAATCGAACCAGCTATCACTACCGTCATAACCCACTGTGAGACAGAGTTCAAGACTGTCTCCGGGGGCACTATTTCACTTATTACAGCCAAGACCAAATATTCTTGGGATAAGAAAATAATTCTTGAAGAAAGATTTTTGTGGAGGATTGACAGAAGAAAAAAATATTCTTGCGCCAAGAATACGAATTCTTGTAGGGAGTGACAGGAACAAAATATTATTGGCTCAAGTATATTTCGGTTGCGGCAACAAAACATTTTTGTGAGTGCGTAGAGCGAAACGGGTTAGTGAGATGTGTCAGGATAACATATTCTGTTGAATTTTTAAACAAAAAAATCCGAAAGCTTTTGAACGGCTATAGCTAGAGGAAATTTAATACCACCATCGTGCTCACAGCGAAAAGTTTACGCGGGAGACACATGCAGCAACCTTCGACGCCCTAATGATCAGTCTACAGCCGAGGGGTGCCCAACTGTAGTAATCAGGTGTACACAGACTTGGTACTCACTGGTAATCACTGGTAATCCCTGGTAATCCTCACACTCGTGAGATTCCTTTGAAAGGAGAAATTTGTTGATTTAGACATGCATTTTTGAGCACATCTTGCCTAAATACCAACCCTGGCGAAAGCAGAGAGTTCTTAGCCTGTTTTCAGAAACATCTCAACGCGAGTTACACATTAGTTTTCGGGGCGTTTCTGTAAAACGTCCTACATGCAGTTTATACACGCTCTTTCTGAAGGGTTGAAAACTGTGGGGATACGTGCTGCTATGAGATTTGAGAGAGTTTTCAGGCAGTTTCTGTAACGGTGGGCATCGAGTTTTTAACCAGTTTCCACAGAGTTTCTGTCGGTGAGCATCGAGTTTTTAACTAGTTTCCAGAGAGTTCTGCTGAAAGTGCTGACTTAAGTGGGTAGGCCGTATCGTGAGACGGGAGCATACCTGAGGGAGTCTCGGAGAAACCAAGAGCGTTTGTGAACAGGGTAATCCAGACTTCTGATTCCTAGGCTCCCCATTGACCTAAAGAAAGACCATGCCAGAACTGAGCTCATTCATCCCTATTAACTAAACGGTCCGCTCCCTAAACAGCTTGGGCCGGTCACATTGTAGTTGAACAATATCTAAATTAATTCTAAAAGTGAGCACTGCAACAAATCACAAACCCCTTTTTTTGATTTTGTTTCCTCGTTATTGGATGCCAATTTTATTGATCCATTACATTAGCAAATTTATAATTTTTTCAGTATAAACCCCCGCGTTGCACGCAAATTAAAATAACAAGAAAAATCAAGGGTTTTCTTTTTTTCTTTTACAGTTTGTGGAGGCGGTTTTCCCAGCCATGACAGGAGGCTGGTGTGTCATGTTTATGTCAGTATTTACGTATATATCTGACGTTACAACAGAAGAAGATCGTACCTTCCGCATTGGGGTCGTCAACATATTCTTTTCGATTGGAATGCCTATTGGTATAGCGCTGTCAGGAATCTTGTATCAGGTGATAGGGTGCGTAGCATACGAAATAATCAACTGAAATCTAAGGCCCCCTTTCGAATCCAAACGGAGCTGCTCGCTCGCTCCACGACTCAGTTCAGTTTCAGCTGACTTGTTTGCACTATCGGCTTCAACGCTCTCGAGTAAAAATTTCCTATGGCATTAATTAATATAGAATAAAAACTGGGTAGTTGTACGCTTGACCACATTTCGCGTAAGATGCTTCGCGAAATCACACAAAACGCAGTTACGCTGCGACGCGTCTGGCATACATCCACCTAAGCCTGCGGCACTGACACCCGAGTCAGGAAAAAGAAGAGTCATCAAAATGCCTTTGCACTGTTAGAAAAAATCCTGGGATTTCACGGAGGAACACTTGTGAAAAGTATTGCCAAAGTCCTTTGGGATTTCCCAAAGTACTCTGCAGATTCCACGCTTCGAGTTTAATTTTGAGACATATAGACGCATGAAAACTTTCACCGTCATCATCTGTTTTAGTACACAAAAACTAAGAAGGGAGTCCTCTGGGAATTTAGTATAGTGATGAAAGGTGAATCTTCGGGAAATCCCAAGAATTTTAAACAGTGTGGCTTCAAAAGCCACAAACTCTACTGACGAGATATTGCGATGTCCCTTACGCGCGACATGGACAGGCGTACATCTAACCACATAGGTCTATCTAATGTATTATAGTCCTCAACAAAAGAGCACAAAATCTCTGTAATCAAGACCCATTTCTCTGAATTTAAGAACGAAATCATGCACATGGTGAAGATGCATAGATACTGTTTGATTCAGGCACAAAATTCTCCTTAAGATTTTATTGTGTTAACTAGACCTGTAATATTTTGGGTGAATATTTTCACTGTGAAAAATGTCTTGGGATTTCACGAAGATCCACTTCACAACTACTGCAAGTAATTCTCAGACGACTCCGTTCTTAAATTTTATGTCGGAAAGCAGCCGTTGTAGTTATTAGTCGCCTGTGTGTTTCGAAGCTAAACTCGGCACGTGAAATCTACAGAGTCCTGTAAGAAATCCCAAAGGACTTTGGCAATATTTTTTACGAGTGTTCCATTGTGAAATCCCAGAAATTTTTCGAACAGTGTTAAGACTTCTTACAATGGCACTAGGCAATGACACCGGGACAATAGGGTATTTTACGTACATTAAACCGTATCCATAGAACAGTAATGCTTCCTAAAGTGTTCCCTCCCTAACGCATATTGGCTCACGTGGACGAAGTTCTCGGACCCGTCACTGGAGCAGTCACTGCCCTGGTGGCGGGTCTGCAACCTCGTTCGCGTCAGCCAATGAACGTTAGGGAGGAAACCATTCAGGAAGCATTACTGTTCTTTTTTGAATCCGGCTATAACTGGGTGAAATATCCTCTTTTACTAAATTGTGAAGTCTTCAGTGTATTTAATGTTATGTTAAGTATTTCGAAGAGAGCTAATTCTTCTTTATTCTTTAACAGATTTTATGGTGTCTTCGGGACGGCTTCATGCATGTACATGTGTAGTTTTTGGTACGGGTACACTCAGATTCATGAGGAGCCCAAAGCTTGGCCGTGTGATAGACCCAAACCAAAGGGTATCCTTGCGTTTCTGGCTGATTTCTTTGACGTAAGAGTTCTTTCTGAAACATTCAACACTGCCTTCAAGAACGGCGAAAAGGGACGACGACTACAAGTGATTCTCCTCATGCTCGTCGCGTTGCTTCTCATCGGGCCCGTGCATGGTACGTATGTCAGCTAAATCATGATATTGGTGAAACGTGCAAAGCACAGTACAGACAGACACACACGAGGTCGTTTGCATAAGCCCGCTGGATAGCTTTTTCAAAGCAGACGGCTAAAAACAACGTTTTAGTGATACTAAATAATCTAGGGACCCTTGAGCCTAAAGGAGGGTGTGGTTCGACGTCAAGTGTGTGGTTTTTGGCTGAGCGATTAGCGAAGCCCATTACTCCACTGACCCAAAAAGTTTCATTCTGTTTGTGTGTTTGTTTGTGTGTTTGTTTGTGTGTTTGTCTGTCTGTCCGCACGATAACTCGAGAATGAATTGAGATAGCAATCTGGGAATTTTAGGGTCGGTTTGTATCACAAAAAGACAGATCGAGTTCGAAGATGAGCATTCTAGCTCAAAACTTGACTTTTTAAAAAATCGAAAACCGCAGGTTGCAAAATGTATTTTTTTTCAAATATTTTTGTATGGGTTCCCAAGGGGTAACTCGTCACAGTATAGCCCTGTGGGCAAAAATTTCGTCCGTTTTGCTCCATCTTGTACCGTTTCGGCGCTATGGGGCATTTCTTGGCGAAAACAACGT